ACAAACACAGGCTCCAGCATGGCAAACATTGTTTTGCCTTTTCCCCTTCCCTCTCCCTTGCTAAACCATTAGATTGTATTCCTAAAGCTAGCCACCAAAGTCTTCTCCCTTATTTGGCATACTTCTTTATGCCTGACTAAAACTCCAAGGTCCAACTATCAAATCATCAAGATCCAGCAATCAAAATTCTTTATTTGGCTACACTGGCTAACCTGTCCAATCAGGACTTACCAACTCACCTAGCACAGACTTGCCCTTTTCTCCTTAAAAACCTCTCCTGTAGAAACACATGTTCTGTCTTTGTCTGATCCAAAGGCAATTCCCCCCACCCTGCCCACCCTTTCCCTTTTGTGTCCTTCCAAGGTAATAAATTTCCTTTGTGCTGAGAATTTGGTGTCTGGGTGTTTTCTGAACCAACTCAGAAGCCCTTTATATATCAAGTAGGTCCAGAGATAAGGGTGGAGGCCTCCTCCTCCTCCTCCACCTCTGACTCCTGCCTTCCTTGACTTACTGTCCATAGGACTAGCCCTGTGTGGTTCAGTGTAAGTAACTGCAGTTGCAATGAGATGATGACTTTTGCAATGGTTATTCCTTCACCCTATCTTCTGGATCTTCATACTCCCATTCCCTCTTCTGTGATGTTCTTTGAAGCTTAAAGAGGGGGGTATAAATGTCTTGTTTAGGACTGGGCTGGCAACCAGTGGCTACTCTCACCATCTTGGACAGCAATGAGTCCTTGCATTTATTCCTGTTCCTTGTGTCCAAAAGCTTCTCTGATTAAGGCCAGGAGAAACTTTGACTACGTAGATAAGCATAGCTATTTAGAAGGCAGTTTGCAACTGTGTCAATTGAGTTAAACAACAGCAATAATTGCACTTCTCTATTACCCTTTAAAAATTCTGTGTATTAGGTGTGGTAACACATGTCCTTAATCTCAGCATCCAGGAGACAAGGACAGGTGTATCTCTGTGAGTTCAAGAGGAGCCTGGTCTACATCACCAGTTAGTAAGACCCTGTTTCAAAGAAACAACAGCAACACAATCTTTTTATTAGTACATGATTGCTTTGATGGTCAGCCTCAGGAGGAGCAAATGGCCAAGGAGCAAATGGGGGCTCACTTTAGGAATGCAATCTAATGGTTCTTAGCAAGACAGATGGAAGGGAAGAGAAGAGGAAGGGCTGCTGGAACATATCTGTCTTGCTGGGCTGGCTAGAGTCCCTTCAGTTTCCCTGTCAGCCTTTGCCTAGAGGAAAAGTCTGCACTTTTAGAGTCTTTTAAAGTTTGGACAGCCTCCTGGATCTATCTTCTACTGCCGCAGGGCATCACTGTACCCACAGGCATATAGTTCTGCCAACTTCTGCTATGTGTAAGACGGAGCTTCTTCTGGATTTTTGCTGTGATCACTCATCATATATGAAGATAGACTCAAGTCTAAGTGTGAAATCCACTGGTAATCTAGCAGCATCTATTCTGTGTATTGTCATCGTCTAGATTTTGGTAATTTTGTGGCTTTCAGATGGGCAGAAGGGGAGTGAGTGAAAATGCAAAGCATTTTTCTGAATTTCACTATTAACAGAGATGCAAGAATAAGTAAAGATATGTCCTTAGTCAGCCTTCTTCTTCTTCTTTTTTTTTTCTTCAAGACAGGGTTTCTCTGTGTAGCTTTTGAGCCTGTCCTGGAATTCAATCTGTAGCCCAGGCTGGCCTCGAACTCACAGAGATCTGCCTGACTCTGCCTCCCGAGTGCTGGGATTAAAGGCGTGTACCACCACCACCCAGTCCTTAGTCATCCTTAAACCAACATTTTCCTAAGATATTTAACATTTATAACTCTGGGTATTATATGTATAAAATTGAAAGAATTATTTTTTCCTTTTGCATAAATTTATAGCTAAAATATTATGTATGTTCCTTTACACATATCACTTGCAAACAGGAGCTAAGTAGAAGCAGAGCACAGTGATAATCACACAGTGTTATTAAAGGTGTTTCCTTTTAGATAATCTAGGGTGATACATTATTATGAATATACCTCTTACATTATTGTACAAACATTTCTTACATTCAAAGAGACTGGAATTTCTGCTGTACTTTACAGCAGAGTTATTAATAAATACATCTTAAGGTTACTCAAGTCTGACATTCTACTGGATACTTAGCCTGTTTGTTTAACTTGCCTTTAAGAGAACAAAGTAGCAACCAACCTTACTTGCCTTGGACTTTCCATGTTATCAACATCAACTTTTACTATATATGCTAAAACAGAGCCTTAATCTTAAGATAGATACTCTTCCATGCTCCCATTGCAGAAAGCAATGCATGTGTGTACATATACATGATATTCTAACCATGTGTTGAAAAATCAAAAACAAGTAAAACAAATATCCACTGTAAGTATTGAAATCTCTCTATATCTACCTACCTATCTATCTATCTATCTATCTATCTATCTATCTATCTATCTACCTACCTACCTACCTACCTACCTATCTATCTATCTATCTATCTATCTATCTATCTATCTATCTATCTTTCTATCTATCTATATCCATTGGTATGGATTTTGGTATATTGATACATATTTAAGGTTATTTTTGTTATACTGTATATATGTTTCTACTCTTATTTAAGGTATTTTTGAATATCAATACATGTTTAAGGTTATTTTTGTTAGAACATACTATACACATGTTTCTACTCTTGTTTAAAATATTGTATCTATGCAGCTCATTTAACAATATAATGTAAATTTCTAGGCCTTTAAAGTTAGTACAAACTATTTAAGAAAATAAAGAAATGTTGTTTAGTAGTTAATCACCTATAATATTCAAACTTATAGTCGTGTCATGTTTTCAAGTCCAAACAGAGATATATTTTAGATAAACAGGTGGTCTTCAAACACTTCAGGGATCGACAGAATATAGCATTTAAGATGTTTTAATAACATAAGCCTTTTCATGACGAGACATGTCTGCTCCTGGTAGCACCAATCTACTTCAAAGATGATGAGCATTGAAGAACCTCCATATGGAGTTTGTTTTCTTTGTGGCAAGTTAGCCACTGAGTAAGAGACTCCCATGGCTTCAACTACTGACAGTATGCTGTCCAAACTATACAAGTTGGACACAAAAGAAAATGACTGCTGAACTTTGCCAAGATAAGGTAGGATAGTCTTTCAAAATTCCTGCTTCACAGAAAAATTTGTCAGATATTCTAGGCCTGTAGGCTGAAGACAGATGCCCCAATGTTACAGAGGAAACTTGAGTGATGTCCAGGCAGCCAGACGTTTCTGTTATATCTTATAGTTTTGAAAGTTGTTTTTTCTGCACTTCTTCTTTACTCAAGTAATATTTCATCCTTCTAGGGTCTCTGGTTGGAATTGAAGACTAGGTAGGTACAGTTTTACACTTTTCCTTGTTACCAAATTCAGAAAAGAAACTTACATAATAGATGGTTAAGTTTATATCTGAGAAACATAAAAGCTTAATTTGTTTATCTAAAAAGATGTTTCAAAATCAATAAAGATACATTTAGAATGGTAATACAAATAATGACAAAAACATTTTAGGTGTAAGACTTTGGACTAACATAGAATAGATAATGTAGTGTTTTCTTTAATTTGCCAAATGCAAATGGAGTGAACATTATTTATGTACTTCTCACCTGAAAATTGTGCTTATTGTATATAGTTTTGATGTGTTAGAGTTAAAACCTTTCTTTTCTTATTTAGGAAAAAAAAGGGGAGAAATGTTGGAATATATCCCTTTACCCTGTGTGAGATGTGCCGCTGTGATGGGGTTAATAAAGAGTTGAATGGCATTAGCTAGACAGGAAGAGTTTAGGAGGGACTTCCGAGAATAGAGAACTCTGGGAAGAAGAAAAGAAGGTGTTGCCAGCCAGATGCAGAATAATCAGGATGGGCATAATGGAGATGACAAGCATGTGGAAGAAAGTAGATTAAAAAATAAGGGTTAATTTTAAAAAGTATGGGTTAATTTAAGTTATAAGAGCTAGTTAAAAACAAGCCTAAGCTAAGGCTGAGCTTTCATAATTAATAATATATCTTCGTGTCATTTTTTGTGAGCTGGCACCCCAAAAACAAAAGTTCATCTACACACACACACACACACACACACACACACACACACACACACACACAGAGAGAGAGAGAGAGAGAGAGAGAGATAGAGAGAGAGAGAGAGAGAGAGAGAGGGGCAGGCAGACAGAGACAGAGACAGAGAGACACAGAGACAGAGAGAGACAAAGAGAGAGAGGGGGGTAGAAAAGACAAGACTACGTTCTGGTATGAACAGATTCAGATTCATACAACAGACAGGTAGGAGCTAACAGAACATATGTGGGGAGATAGAGAATTCAAATCTCTGTTTGCTCTTGGCTGTTCCAAAGAGAAGTATTTCTATTACTTTTCTGAAAGTGACACATATCTTTTGCAACTCCGAGTTATTACTAATACATTAAAATGGATGCAATAATCCTTACCATACTTAATTGAAAACTGAGTTATTATTTGGTTTAATGTATGTACATTAAGGGAGTTATGCTTTGTGAATAGGTTGCCAGTAGTTTTCAGCATGTTTTAAAGATAATTTCACATATAATCATAAGTAAATGCATTTACCCTTTTCTCCCTTAATAGTATGACATATTTACTTTTTCTTTTTATTAAGTTTTGATATATAAGATTTTCCAATTTAAACATGACTCAAACGTTGTCCATCCTCTTGTTTCACATCATCTGTTCTAAGCAATCTTCTAAAGGCAGTCTATGTAGACGAGGGTAGAGGACATAGGTGAGGCAACTGGTCTACCTGGGCAGTTCACCACTTTGAAGCAATGTTTGTGAATCAAAGTACACTGTGGCATGGGATGTGAAAATGTTACTGTGAACACGGCTAATATTTAAATACACGGGAGATAAAGGTTTGAGTGGGGAATCCCCGAACTGTTGTTCCTGTAGACCATTGAACAACAGGTGGGCATGAGGGCAGAGGGTTCTGTATTGATGTCCTTCACCTTCCTTTCTCTGGAACATCCAGGTAAGCACCTGATCCCAACATGCTTACCAACATGTGAAAAATTATTCACATCAATTGATGAAAACATTTGATCTTGCTTTACAATTTATTTAGTTAATAATTTTCTTCACAGTGAGATTGTATTATCTAGAATCTAAAATAACCTCTTTTAAAATGCTCATTTAAATTTATATGAACACATTTCAAATTGTCTATTTTTCAACTCAGGAGTAAGACAACTAAAAGAGAAGGAATCTCCCAGAATAGTGAAAACTCATCTGCCACCCAAGCTTCTTCCAGCATCATTTTGGGAAAAGAACTGCATGGTCACCAGAATATGATTTTCTTAGACTTTATGGACTCAGATATTACCTAAAAGGCATCATACACACACACACACACACACACACACACACACACACACACACACACACACACACACAAAACACACACACACACACACATACACACACTGTGTGTATGTATATGTATACGCATTTATATAGTATTATATATATATATAGTATTACTCTTTTCATTTAACACACAGATTTTTCAAAAAATGTGAATTATTTTTAACATAACCCAAGTCTAAATTGTAATTATACCATTTTTTTATGTGCTTAAGATGATTCTGAAACTAATTAAACTCTAAGCCTTGGTTTATTTCTGTGTAAAAGAAGGGTAATAGTGTCATCTTCTTAATAGAGTTAAGTACAATCATCCTTGAAACCTAAAGCCTGGTGCCTAGACCAGTGTAAGTACCAGATGGATGCTAGAAAGCTGTATTTATACCCCAGGTGACTGAATGTCTTTTCTTCACAAAATAGTGTGTGACATTATGAAACATTCAAATGAGTCAGAATAGACTATCAAGACAAGTGTTCTGTAATAATCATTTACTCAGTGAATGAAAGGGACTGTTATCACCCATTTCACTTCCTAATAATACACCACACACTGGCTAAACTGTAAAGGAAAGAGATATTTTTGGTTAGTGATTCTGATCCAAGGTTAAGACGTACTTGGTGATGGTCTTGTTGACAAAGTTTCAAGGTAGCATACAAGTCATCAGATAGATACACATTTATGTCTCTAGTGTCTAACTCTTTTCTTTAAATCCACTAGCACTCAAAAGTTTGTTACTATGATGACATTTTCTAACCCTTGACACCTCCCAAGGACCCTACCTCTAAATACAAAAGTCAGATTGTATTCATTCTACAGGTACATAGACTTCATTGTGAACATTGAACTTGATTGTGAATTTTGGAGGGTACAAATCATATTCAAACCTACCATTTCTTGTAAGGTGTAGAGACACATGACACAGATAATCATTGATTCCATAGAAATAATCACTTAGAGAAAAAATAAGTAAACAGACTCTACAGGTAGTACTTAGATCATGTAAGAGAAGACTTCTAATTCAGATGCATGGTTTAAATGGCTAATGAGGACTGGGTGGTGGTGGTGCACACCTTTAATCTCAGCACTTGGGAGGCAGAGGCAGGTGGATCTCTGAGTTAGAGGCCAGCCTGGTCTACAGAGCCAGTTCCAGGACAGCCAGGGCTACACAGAGAAACCCTGTCTTGAAAAAAACAAAACTTAAAAGGGCTGAAGAGGAACTAGTCTATTCAAACAAAGAGACAATTTCAGGAGATATCTGTAACCAGTTCAACTTTTCTGGAAGGTTAAGTGTTCATGCTGGGTAAAAATTTGACATCAAATTACCTGGGACGTATCACAGGAACGTTGGATGCCAAGTTAAGAAACTTGGACTTTACTTCCATTATAGCAAGATATGAGTGTTATATACAGAAGGGGTTATACAATTCTAAAGTTCAGGCAAAATGGACCATGGAGTAAATTTCCTGCATCTTGCATGCTGGTGTTTCTTGATATATTTGCCACTTTGTAAAGATTTAGTTTCTCCAAACTTCAAGGTTCTAAAGCTTTCTTAGTCCCACCTGAAGTAACAGTAAGTACATATCCTCCTGGATAATTCCCTACAGAAAAGCTATCTCATAGTTGTTCAATTTCCTGAGGTGTCTCATCACCATTTTCTGTAAGAGTTTTGATCAAGCCACTTTTTTTCCCCTGTTAGAGTTGCAGGATTTTACAGCTGCATTGAAATTGGTAGTCATATTTTATTCCATACTTTCTTATACCTCAGAGGTCATCAAAGAGATAGAGATAATTGAATGGATTTGCCTTTTGATTGTTTCCAGATTGATTTGTTGATCCATCAGAGGAGCAGGAGTGGGGAATATTTTGTGAACGTATGTTTGCACTCGTGGATCAGAAGGAAATAAGTGATGAAGGAAAGGAAGTGATTTTTAAGGGAGCAGGATGGTGAATAAGAAAAGTATTGAAGGACAGTGGATTTGAAGCTGTGGTGTGGTTTGGAGGGAGGTGTATAGACTGTAGACCTGGAGGAGACTACATGCTTTGCTCCATTTCTTTAGTGGTGTGCCGGGAGCCATGGATGGATGGGTCCTGCAGAGGATATAAGGACTCGGCGGGAGAAGGAAGTGAGCCAGGCCATGGTTGTTGGGAGAATCTTGCAGCCTAACTGACTAGCAGCCAGAGTGTTTCTTTATTTATACAGAATTTAGTTAGCAGGGATACATTCATGATGTTCCAAAACATAGATCATATCACTTTTGTTTTTGGACATGTGTTTCACTTCCTTTTGCTCATCTTTTAGTCATCATTAACAAACTATGACAGAACAGAATTATCATTTTCAATCATTTTCCCTCATGTCTTGACATCATTAATAAACAGAGCTATCATTCTTACTCATTAACCCCATAACCCAGTTTTTGAGAATCTAGACGCATATGACAGCCTGTGCTAAGGCTGGTTGCTTTGGTTGCTTCAAGGACACTAGACCAAAACAAAAATCTTCAACTACCCTGGGCATTTTGCCATGTCTCAAGCAATGTATTATTAACTCTTAGTGGTCAGAGTACCCAGGAAAAATCCTCAGGCCAAAGATGCTGCAGTTATTATTTAAATTCTGGCATAATACAATCAATGTTCACATTTATATCCTTATAGAATTTGTTTATATGTCTAATCCTGGCATTCTGTTGTTCCTTGGTCATATGACATTATAGTGGCTCTACATGAGCTAACTTCTAAAAGAGGGATGTCCTAACATCTCATACTTTCATCATCTTCCCACTCCACACTTTGCTTATCAATATGTCTCTATGTAGGGCAGAGCTGTATGCCAAGTAATTGTATGAGTGTACACTGAATCTTGTTGATTTTTTTAAGTTTACTTTGTTTTGAATATCTTGTTCCAGTGTAAGTAGAGGGACAGATGTTTCAAGAATGTCTCATAGCCTCATGAAGAGACCTCTAGCTTCTTCTTTATGTGTCACAACCTCCAAGGCATAAGGAAGACCTTCAAGTAGATAAGGGTATCTCCCTCAAAGTGTGTGTGTGTGGGGGGGGGAGACAGTATATTCAGGACTTTCCTGGATAAGCAGCATTCCTGGGAGAAGGCATAAATGATTCATAAGGAATTTTCCATCAATCCAACATCCTCAAATTGTACAACTATTAAAAGTACCCCAAGTATGTAATAGGTGGAGATGAAAACCAAAGGTGGCATGGCAGCCATCATGTGGCTCAGATCTGCTGGGTCTTTGACAAGCAGCTGTGCTGGCTTTATGACTTCTGCCATTCCATTCAGATGTAGCTGTGCCAGTGGTGAAAATATTGGAGTACAAAGAGATGAGGCCTTTGCAGGATAAAGTTTTATAGTGTTAACTCTAGAAACAGCAGCTAACACCACAGCTTCCTGATTTGCCCATCCCCTGGTGTTTATCTACTATGTAAGAATGGAGAGCCAGTGAGTCAAGTTACAGATTGCACTTTCCTCTAATCACATTCCTCAGGGGCAGGAGTGGTCACTTTTATTATCAAACAATGAAAGGGATGACCTCAAGGTGGGCCCAGATGGAGAAAGTAGAGAACTTTGAGATATGGATTTAAATACAAATATGTAAACATAATTACATTTTTCTAAGTGCAAGTGATGAAGCTACAGGGCATTTTGTCTTAGTATCCAAATTGTAATATGGTCTAAAGAACAGAAAATTGTACTTTTGACTGAGTGATCTATCAACTTGTTTATTTGCATTGATTTATTTTCAATACTACTGTACTTGAATCAATTTAAGTTTCATTATTTTATTTATAAAGTTGGGGAAATAATCTGGTTGGCTCAATTTTTTGACAGTGATTATGTCATACAAATAAAAAGCAAGAGCAGACATTGAACAACACTGGAAATGGTGCTGTTGCCCCAGACTGTAGAATACATTTCCTAGCAGGATAAGACTAAAGGCAAGCCAGGACACAGAGCAGACACTGCCTCAACTTAAGATACTATGGTCTGTTTTTTTTTTTCTGTCTAATGTTCATATTTGAATCTTTTTTCCACAATGGATTTATATTATGTTAGTTGTTGGAAACATGAATCTTTAAAACTTGATGACAAGGTAGTTTTGATAATCGAGTCAGTGATTTAGCACCTTATTTTGTCCTCTAGATGATCTATATTTGCCGGAACGCCAAGGATGTGTTGGTTTCTTATTATTACTTTTTCCTAATGATAGTGAGCTATCCAAATCCTGAAACCTTTTCAGAATTTGTGGAGAAATTTATGCAAGGACAAGGTAAGAGCAACTTGTCTTCTTTGGATTACTTTCCCCAAAAGCAGGACAAAACAAATGCTGTTCCAAAAAACAAACAAACAAACAAACAAACAAAAAACAAGAAAAAATGCTATTCTGTGTGAAGGAAAATAAATGAATTAATATAAAAAGAAATAATATAAATATGTAAAAACAGAACTATAATATAGCATACATAGAGATCGAATATGATATAATATAAATAGAATATAAACATATATAAAGAGAAATGTAATATAAATAAATATATAAATATGTACAACAGATTAATGCAATACAAGTAAACAGAAATAGAATGTAATAAAAATAAAATATACTATGTTTATAAGATGATATAAATACATATAAGCAGGAATATGATATGTTTAAATAACACACACATACTCTGTGTGTGTGTATATATATATGTATATATACACACACACAGAGGTAGAATATAAGGTTTCGAAGGGATATAATATTACCCAAATTCTAAAACCACTGATGCTTAGAGTGATAGTAGATTTGTGTATGTGAGGAGGTTAGAAAATTAGAGACTCTAGTAATTTCATTATAATGCCAATAAGTAAATGCATTGATCCAGTTTTTTTGGGTTAGGGGTGGTAGTTTCCCCTCTATAAGTCTGTGAGTTAGCATGTTCCATCTCTAACATACATTTTTATATTTTCCAAATGTTTTAGAACATGTTATTGTAATATGATTGAACAAAAAGTATGTGAGGGGATAAAAGCATGATTCACTCCTTTCCAATTAAAATGCCAGGGGATTAAATGAAGCCTGATGTAGGTATTTACAAATATTCTAAATACCTATAAAACTCTTACTTATTCCACTAGGCATGTAGACTGAACATTTTCATTTTGGTTTCCCTAAACAGTGAAGAGCTATCTGAGCACATATTATGGAAACTTTATCATTCCACTGAAGTTCTGACTAAAGCAACTGAGTGTTTACATTTGAAGATGAAGGGGCAACAAAGAGTTTACACCTCATTAAATAAGCCATGTGAATTGTATAGGAATAGCTGAAAGAAAAACACTTTATATCCATATGAGATAATATTGTTCGTTGGATCTTTGTGGTTTGCAGAAAAAAAATGTATTCTAGAACACTATGAATAAAATATATGCCTCAAGATTGTCAAGCTTCTCTATGAAATAAAGAGAAAAATAATGTATATCTTTAAAAAGAGGATGAATTAGATTATTATTAACATCATTGTGGGCCTTCTCTTAAGAAACTTTGATTGTGGCATCAAAGCACAGGAAAGTACACCATGGGTCAATGCCACGTCTAGTGGCCACTCGTACATGTTTGTACCACTCTGTTAGCCTTGGATTTGATAAAGTTGTTCTGTGAGGGTAAGAGAAGAAAAGGGAAGAGACAGCATTTGTCATATCACATGGTATCTAAAATCTAATTTTATGGAAGAGAGACAGGAATTGTCTCTATGAGAACACATTCACAATCCAAATTATCACTGTTGTAATAATTACTACATTCTCCCCCCACCGTGTGTGTGTGTGTGTGTGTGTGTGTGTGTGTGTGTGTGTGTATCTCACACACAGATGTATACACACACACATCCACAAACAGACACACGTAACTACACACACACACACACACACACACACACACACACACACACACACGCACGCACACACACCAGTTTAACACATGCTCTCATTGCTCTAAATTGAGTTGGTTTCTTATCTTTTCTCCTTATCATAATACATATCATGATGCTAAAACTAAAAACACATTTCTGTACATGAAATTATTCAACAATTTTTGCATCATTACTGAACAGAACTCTTCTTAATAAGTGTAATTGCCTGTTAGCTCTCATTCCACGATCATTTTGTCTTAACAATTTGAATACTTCTATCAAGTTGCAAAATGATGACGTAATATCTGTACATTTGTTTCTTCTAATTTCAGTTTTGTATGGTTCGTAGTATGATCATGTAAAATCTTGGTGGAAAAAAAGTAAGAATTCACGTATATTATTTGTGTTTTATGAAGACATGATAGAGGTAAGAAATGGAAGACACATGAGCATTCTAGTAGTTTTTAATATACTCTTAGTGTCTGACAATACTCTGGATACAATATTATCACTGGAAACATAATAGCAACCACTTTCAGAAATATAAAAGGAAAAACATCATATTCTGCTTTGATTAAGTCAAACTTGAATCTAGTAAGTAAAAATGGTTAGTGAACAAATACATTTTAAACCAAGAGTCAAAAATTTTCTAAAGATAAAATTTTCAAAAAGAATTGATTGAATTGATGATTACTAAGATTGATCTTTCCCTAGACACTGTAGTCTTAGGATTTATATCTTTTATATATGAAATTCACTGTACATATACCATGTATGAGAATATAATATCTAGGCATTGTAGCTTATAGCTGTAATTCAAGCCATGTTTGAGCAGAATATCAAGGCTTGCCTCAAAAAGAATAAAAATAACTTAAAATTTCCCGGGGAGATGTCAGTGGATAAAGCCATTGCTATGTAAGCTTGAGGACTGGAGTTCAAATACCTGGCACTTAAATAAAACCAGATCTGTATGGAAGTCTGCACCTAATCCTAGTGCTATGGAAATAGAGGATACCAGAGTCAGACACACAGGGTGAACTTACAGAAACAGTGAGCTCTGTGTTGAGGGAGACATCCTGCCTCAGTAAATCAAAGTGGACAGCTATAGAAGAAGTTATATAACTACAATTTTCTGGTTTTCACACACTCAAATACAAGTGCATGCAGACTTATCTGCTTGTATGCTCACACACATGCAAACTTGCTTGCACAAAACACATACACGTACTATCTATGGAAGAATAAATAAGCAGAAAGAAAGAAATTAGAAAGAACTACAATCAACACTTTACAAGTCCTCTCATTTAGTCCTAACAATTTTTGAATTGTCTTACATCTATTTCCGGATGAGGAAGAATTGCTTAGAATAGTTTGTTTTCTTCATTATAAATTTAATTTCAATGTGACCAGATGCAAGGTAATATTCTCTTTCATTTTTAGCCTAATACCTATTCACCAATTTTGTCAACTTGATTTTTAAATCACTTCATTTCTCCATAGGATATCAGAAGAGAAGTGATAAAATTGATAGAATTCCTAGGGAAAAAGCCCTCAGAGGAGCTTGTAGATAAAATCGTTCAACACACTTTATTCCAGGAGATGAGGAACAATCCATCTACCAATTATACAACAATGCCAGAGGACATGATGACTCACAAAGTATCGCCTTTCATGAGAAAAGGTGAGAAAGTCACGTGGCTGTCTGTTAAAAGGTCTAAGTTGCCATGAGTTAAGTCTAGTCAATTTTATTTACCCTGAATAATTAACATATGTTTTCTTTACAACTCTTTTATCTTGAATATTATTATTGAATTGTAAATTGTGCAGAGGCATTAAACACTATTAATATATTCAAGACCATATTTACTAATAATGAATTTCTGTTACTTGTTTCTTTCGTTTGAGAAGTATATTAATTTGAGCATATGGCTGACACCTTAGTCTCAGCATCAGTAACGATATCATAGTGTACCAGCTGTCATTAACTAGGTCTGTGTCTCTTGGGTGTATACCATATGCCTTATACATATTATCTCCATAGGTTATGATTTCTAAATAGGAAAATGAATCTACTATCTCATTTTGAGATGAAAAACAAGCTCAGAAAAGTCAGTCATATTTTCCTTGTATAAGTGACAGAAAGTTTTGAAAAGTAAATAACTAAGGTAGGAATTCAAACACAATTCTATTTACCAATAATATCAAAACACAATGAAAGGAAATTTTATTTAAATAGAAGCACTACCTGGTGGGATATAGTCAACTTGTATACCTCAAATTAGGGATTTTTACATAGTATCCAGGGAGTAATGTCATGTAAGTAATAGGATAAAAATGCCTAAGTCTAGATTTGAGAGATTTATTAGGGTAAAGATGATATTCAATAATTTGATAGTCATTATACCATTAATCTCATTATAGAAAGCCCAATATAACAGCAAAATCAAAGAAGAAAGCTCATTTGAAGTAGTTCAGGGAGGAGAGAATGTGTCAATAGTAATTTTAAAGACAAATTGTCAAAACAATAAAGACAAATATATTTTTGTGAAATAAAACAGTATGATACTTATATCTTTTATTGGGAAAACTGAATATTAGGAGGAAATTTCACATTATTTATGAAAGATACACAGGATAGAAAAATCTGATGATTCTGACTCACAGAGTTGACACTCCTGACTTCCACCTGTTTCATTACAGGAATTGTAGGAGACTGGAAGAACCACTTCACAGTAGCACTGAGGGAGAAATTTGATGAGCACTATGAGCAACAAATGAAGGAATGCACCCTCAAGTTTAGAGAAGAACTCTGAGATGCTTCCTTTTTTTGTATCTGAAACTGGAACATTCTTCAATTTATCCTCCAGTTTCTGTTGGTTTGCCTTTCAGTAGAAGTAGAAGTCTTTTGAAGGCTGAGATTTAATTTCTTTCTCTCTTTTTTTTAACTTCCATATCAATTTAATTTCTGACAGCAAATTATTTTGACAGCAAAACCACATTTTTCTTATATATAACATAAGCATTTTCCTCTTCTAGTGTTCAAAGATCTCTAATAAAATAATTTGATGTCTCCATATTTAGACTTTCATATAACAATATAAATGTTTTCTTGGTGATACAAAGATCAACTAATATAAAGATGCTTTGAGCTTGGCAAGTAGGTAACCTTTTGATTGTGTTTGGAAGCCAAATATGTACAAAACTATATGAAGAAATTAAAGCAATTCCAAGAATTATGAGGTCACTTGAAGATAACACCTAAAGACTCACAAATAAAAAAAATTAGTTAAACTGAAATAAATGTGTTTTCTTATGTTTTGAGCCTTAAGTCCAAGCTGATGGAGTGCAGAATTATAGATTGCCATCACTGTTGTGTAGAATCATGCAAGGCTTATATCAGCTGGCAATTGGTGACTGAAGCTAATTATTCTTTGTCAATAAAATATCAGGAGTTAGATATCAGGGTAAGAACCTGAAAGATCAGAGAAGCAGGGGAACAGCCACCAGTTGCCTCCTACCACTTCCGTTCCTTCCTCCATAAGGGCCGAGATCCTCTCTCAGCCCTACCATAACACTTCCTGTCTCCTCTCTGTCTACAGTCTTCTAAACCTCTATGGTTAATTTTGATCAGCTAGTGGCTAGCTCTGCCCTCTGACTCTAAGCAAGCTTTATTTGTCAGGACACAATCAAAATATCACACATCATTTCCCCCTTTTTGTCTAAATAAAAAGCGAAGGTTTTAACTAACATAGTAAAACCATATACAATAAGTACAATAACTATATACAAATACATACAGGCAAGAATTACATTAACAATGTTCAGTCCATTTACATTTGACAAAAGCAGAAAAAATACTCCATTTTCTAGTCTATCTTGGTGAATTCAAAGTACCTAATTTACTTTCTATCCTAACTTGTATTACCAACCCAAAACTATCTTTTTTATGTCCCTCAACCTTATAAACTTTACATCTCTTTTGTGAGTTTCTTTTCTGAATTTGGTAACAATGAAATCTATATCTATAACTATCTAGTCTTCAACTACATCAGAGACCTGAGAATTCTCAGGTTTTATTTGAATTGAGTTGCCAAATGTTGGTTACCATATGTAACCAGAGGCTTTTCTACCCTGCCCTGTCCTGTAGCCACTATTAAAACAATCACTCAGAGGCTTATATTAATTATAAATATTTGGCTGATGGCTCAGGCTTATTACTAGCTAGCTCTTATACTTAAATTAACCCATTTCTATTAATCTATGTATTAATATATCTATTAATCACCAATGGCCCATGGCTTACTAGTTCTTTCACATCTTGCTTCTTGAGTGACTTGCAGCATGTGCTCTGACTCCCCATTTCTCCATCTCCATCTTCAGTTTGAGTGTATTACCTAACCTTATTCTGACTTGCCATTGGCCAAATAGCTTTGTTTATCAATCTATGATAGCAACACATATTCACAGCATACAGAAAGACATACCACAGCAGTATACTGTCAGCAGTTGAGGCAAGGGCACCTTCTTGGTCAGTGGCTAAGTTTTGCCACAAAGAAAGAAAACTCTATATGGAGTTTCTTCAGTGACTATCATCTCTCTGAAGTAGATTGGTACCACCAGGAGCAGACGTGTCTCAATGTCATAAAAAAATCTTATGTTATTAAAACATCTTAAATACCATATTTTGTAGATCTCTGAAGTGATTGGAGATCACCTGTCTATCTAAAATATATCTTTTTTGACCTTGAAAATGTACCTAACATGACTACAACTTTGATTGTAATAGATGACTATCAGCCTGCATTTCTTTATTATTCTAAATAGTTTGTAATAATAACTTTCAAGGACTAGAAATTACATTACATTCTTAAATGAGTTGTATAGGTACAATACCTTGAAAAACAGTAGAAACATATGTACAGTAGATTCTAACAAAAATAACATTAAATTTGTATTAATATACAAAAATACCTTAAACAAGAGTAGAAACATATGAACAGTATAACAAAAATAACTTGAAATTTGTATCATATACAAAAACCCATACCAATTAAAATATTTAAGACTAGCAATTACGTTTTTGGTTTAAAAGTAGATTCAGTAATCTACCCTTTTATCCTATCAATTCTTTATATCCCCTTTTTCTTTTCAGAATAAGATCCTTGAATCTAATCTTTGCTCAGCTTTTTTCCTGACCATTGCCAATAACAACTTGTAACCAACGCCCCTAAACAGTGACAAATGTCCTAACCCACTGAATGACCAAAAACCTACCACCATACCTCTTGGGAATGTGGGCCATCGTGTTGTTAAAATTACTTCCTGTTGTCTAGGGGCAATGGCATCTTTAGGGGGACCCTGGAGAAAATGTGACGATTGTCAAGTCCTAGGAGAGCTAGCTGTATCATTTGTTGTCCGGTGTCTGTGTAATGGGAAAGTGCAGGGCTTATCTCATGTCCTGGCTAGAGTAGTCTGTAAGACTGGACCATCTCAGCTAGCCACCTTGAAATTGTCCTGAGGAGTTTCTTGTCCAAAGCTGATCTTTCTGTGATGTTGCCTGCTTATCCAGGGCGGAAACTATTATTGTGGGGCCCCATCCTCCTTTTGGAGACTTCCAAGGTCACTGTTAGGCATGGTCATGGTTCATTGCAGAAAAACTTAAACATTTTAAATGTCTTATGCAGCATATCTCAAAGATGATAAAGGACCATAATATTTGTGATGTACATTAAGAGTACAAAATCTTAATTCCTAGTTATGTGGTTAGAGACTCAAACCCAAAATCCTATACAGGAAGACAGATGAAGTCTTTTTCTAGAATTAGTTAGTACTCTATAGGAACCATTAATATTGTGATAAAAGTTTAATATATATATATATATATATATTGATTTTATAAAATTTTAGATAATATTTATACCTTAAGAAAAGTTATAAAGAGTTAAAATAAAACCAAAGAATTATGAAATTAGTGGCAATAGAATAGTCCCTTAATTTTGTTTTTTCTTCTGGTCCATTATCAGGTGGCTCTTCTGACATGAGACAGAGATTTTGGATTTTCCTTTAACAATCATGCTTGGGTTTAGAAAAGGAGAGAGCCATGCTCCAACTCCAAACCCAGCTACAAAAAAAACTATTTGCATTTTATGTCTATAAGGAACAGCAGAAACAAACATTTGGGAAGATTGATGAAAATTTTCCTTTTGGAAATGTGATATATCAATAGGTTAAATTTACTCTTTTACTTGGGATATTTTCTCTGGATGATTCGTCATTTTTCTTCAGATGTCTCACTTGTCCAAAGGTCTTCAGATTCCTTAGCTGGATGTCTTCATTCTCCTGGAAAGACAAAAACAAAAACCCATGCCCAACCATAACTTTGGAGTTTCCCTTGTGGCAAGTTATATCCAATCAAATGAAAAGCATTTGTAAGTTAGTTTAGATTGAATGGTCATACTGTTTGATGAACTATTGCCTCTTTTAATAAAGAGGTCTCTCTTGTTTGAATCTAATCTTTATCTATTTTGATGATATACATAGTTTTTCTTCTCCCGTGGAAACAAAGGCAAAACCTCTTCCCCAATGTAGCACATATCCTGGTTTCCATTCTGAGGTCAACATATCTTTAATGTATACAGGCTGATTTAATTCAACAGTTTTTTTTCTACTATCCAATGTCTCTCTGCAGCTGTTGTTCCTTTCTCATTAGCATTTAGAAAATTTAAAGTTAATAAAGCATTGTGCAGTCTATCTCTGGAGGTCTTTATTACCCCTTCCTATTTATTAAGCATATCTTTTACAGTTCTTTTTGGTCTTTCTATATCTGCTTGGCCAATAGGAACATGTAGCATACATGTAGTATGCTTTATGTTGTATTATGTAAAAAACTGTTTCATTTTACTAGAGACATATGCTGGCACACTGTCAGTCTTAATTTGTACAGGTATTCCCATGATGGCCATAACTTCTAATAAATGTGTAATTGCAGAATCAGTCTTCTTATAACCAAAGCAGTTGCCCAATGAAATCTTGAATATGTATCTATGGTATGGTGTACATATTTTAATTTTCTGAACTCTGCAAAATGAAACACATCTATTTGCCAAATCTCATTTCTTTGAGTATGCCTTGGGTTACTTCCTGCAGGTAGTAGAGTTTGGTTATCCAAGGGACAAGTAGGACATTTCCTTAAAAGTTCCTTGACTTGTTGCCAAGTAATGGAAAAATCTTTTTTCAAATTGCTGCTATTAGCATGGTGTTTCTTATGATATTCTGAGGCTTCTAGCACATTTGCTAGCAATAGTTGATCAATTTCATCATTACCTTGTGCTAGAGGGCCTGGCAGACCCATATGGGATCTCATATGTGTTATATATAAGGGATGATATCTATTTCTGACTTTTTCTTGTAATTGAATAAATAACAAAGTCAATTCTGAATCATCTGGAATAAGTTCATCAGTTTCATTTCAATATGTAAAACAACTTTTTCTGCATATTGAGAGTCAGTAACTTTATTAACAGGTTCTGGAAAATCTAATAATACTATGAGAATAGCATATAATTCTGACTTTTGAGCAGAATCATAAGGGCTTTGAGCTGCTTTACTTAAATTTCCTGACTTATAACCTTTCTTTCCTGATTTGTTTGCATCAGTATAGAATATAGGGGCTCCAGAAATTGGTGTTCCCCATACAATGTCAGGAAGGATCCAATTAGTTCACTTTATAAACTGAATTCTCTTTCTTTTGGGATATTTGTTGCTAATCTTTCCCAAAAAATTATTACAAGCTCTTTGCCAATGTTCATTTTTT